TAAAGATCTATTTCACAATTTTTCTTTGTTTCACTTAGAAGAAAAATTTGTAACTATGCGATACTTGTAATGTAACAAAATATGGTTCAAACTATTTGGTGTATGTCTATACAAAAGGCTATCAATCACTTAATACTCTCAACTTTTTGTCCATTATCATTGCGAGTTTCACTCACACAAGTGAAATGCTTCAATTTAATGGTTAGAGAAGAAAATGGAGAATTATTAGCAAAGGACGTCATACATGCATAGTACATGGATGACATCGATGAGGACCAGAGGCTTCCTCATCACCATGAGCCAAAAGAATTTGTCTCTTGACAAGCTTGCCGGCAAAGATCAGGCTAAGAATTATATCTGTATAAATTATGTATGAGAAACAGAAAATCCACCTTTACCACCCATTCAAAAAAAAACTGCTAGGTTTCAGGGCAGTTAATCACTTCCGTGATCCCTCCAATACCTTTGGATAAGTTTTTGAGTTCTCTGAACAAGGATCTCACATTTGTGAATTCTGGCTAAGTGGATAAATTACCTTTCAGTTAACACTACTAATCTAATTTGTTGCCAACTCTCTTGGTATTATATCTTTTTTATGTTGTCATTGGTAGATGAGAATCCTACATTGATAAGGATGTATTATCATTGAACAAGGAATAAAATAATGAACCAACCCCAAGAGTGGTTACAAGTTGATTACTGGTTTTGTCCTGCCTTTGTACAATTAGTATGTTGGAATGCTCCGTTAGAGACTTGATGCCTACATTTGAGGAGTTGAATAAAATTCTGAAAGATCATGAATATTCATACATTGTATAATGTTAAAGTTACAAAACCTTGTCGTAGTTCATATTCATCATATTCAGGAAGAGTGGAAACGGAGGGGAGACCTTTCCTTGGTATATGGATACAAGTCAGCCCCTTTTTATTTTTTATGAGTACTGAAGCTTTAAGGATTCATAATTTGCTTCAGGATTTCTTTGAGGTTTGCCCTGAGAAAGTACCAAATTACGAGGAGAAGATCAAGAGCTTTTTTGAAGAACACTTCCATACCAATTAGGAGATTTGTTACTGTGTTGCAGGAAGTGTTGTTTATTGATTGGATTTTGCTATTCTGCCTTCCAACTATTGTTGCTGCCCTTCTGGGTGTAATGTGAATGAGAGCTGGATTTGCATCTGGGTAAAGAAAGGTGGAATGATTTGTGCAATTCCTACTGGAATATATGTATTACAGCTTCACGCTTGATTCACATTGCTCTTAAGAAGTTAGGTAGGTAGGTCTAAATGACCTTAATTCTATTTTTATTTTTTTTGTCGAAGATCCACGAGGAAGAATACATCAGATTTGGCTTATATGTAGTGTTTGTTTACACTCTCATGCATGTGAATGTTGCACCTCACATCCAAAAGTTAAAAGTACATCTGGTAGCCAGCCACGCTACATTTTGGAGCGTAATATAATATGCAACAATTAGTATCTGATATCTGATTTGGTAATCAAGTTCTCCACTAATATTAGCAATTTTTCATTTGAATGGCATATTTTAATGTTTGTGTGTTGCGAATCTTTGTAGGTTTGATACATTCAAAGCAGGGGAAGCATAATTATGATTGTTGGCGAGACAATGAAAGTTAATAATAAAGTTTTGGTTACTGACCTAAACAATGCGACGGATGGTGTACGCTATTGTAACCATATCTGACTAAGAAAGTAAACATTTGCATCTACAGGTTCAATAAATGTGGAATAATATAGTAAATAAAAAGCATTTAAAGACCAAACATTTGCTTAAGACCTTGGACCAACTAAAAAGTTGCTCAAATTTACTTTTAAATCATTTTTTATTTTTTAGAGTGTTTGATAAAGTTAAAAATAACTTTGAACTGAAATTACACCCACTTTTCATTTTTCAACTCAAAAGCTACTAAAGTTTAACTTTCTAAAAACTATATTTTTGAAGAGCTACTTTTTTTAAAGTTAAGTCAAATGGGCTTTCAAATTAATCAAATATAATAATTTCAACTTTTACAATACAAGATTTGTGTTACAACCGAGCACTAAACAACGAGAAATCACAATTTTATAATATTGAGTTTATGCAAAAACAACGAGAAATCACATTCTAAATTGTAACGTACAAGCACCAAACGAGGACAAATCACTTAGAATGCAAATTTGTTGGGCCTGTGCTAAGCACGGGCTATATATACTTATCTTGTTATTAAATAAGAAGGTTGTGGAAAGATGGCTAAAGATATTTTTCCAGGGAATCACACACACGTTACATATTCAAAATTTAAAATTATTTTAAAAAATAAAATAGAAATTTATACGTAATCCTATTACATGTAATTAATTTTAATTATTTAAAGTATATATATATATAGATTATTATTACTATTATTATTATTATATTATTATTATATATACCATATGTTTTTTTGCTGATGGCTGAATTCTTTTAATAATATAATATAGAATATGTATTTAAAAATTCAATTAAATAGATAACTATCTATGATTATAAAAATCACAATTTATTTTTTAAAAAAGGGTAAAAGAATCAATTAAAGGAAAACATAACAAATTCAGAAACTATTTTTAAAATAAAATGTCAATTTATTATTTAACCCTATTATATGTAATTAATAGTTTTTAATTATTTTAAAAATCTTTTTTTGTGGTGCTGACACATGGCACTTTTTCTTCTCCTACTATATATAGATAGATGTTTGCGATTACAAATTTATAGGTACATATAATTTTATAAAGATCAACGTAGTCAATAATAGTAATAATTAGTTATTCTTTAATATAATCTTTTCACATGTGCGAATAATTCACGTTGAGCGTGAATCTTTGTTGCAAAATTCAAAATGATGAGCCTTTTTTTTTTTAATTATAAACTTATGAGTCAAGTTTTACATTTCTAAAAGATGAAATCATGATTTGAAATTCCAAGTCATACTTTTTTTTTTGGAGAATTTGAGATATGACATTATGATTCTAAATCGCATATCCAAACACCGAGTTAAAATCATGACTTCATATAACAAAAACATATCGAAACACAATCTAAGTAGGCGTTTGGCCATGCGATACCATATCATGATATGGTATCGTGAGATGGAATCAGCGTTTGGACATGCGATTTTACGTTGATTCCATCTCATGATTCCATATAATGAGATGTGATTCCATCTTCTTCAAAAACCATGATATGGAATTATATGGTAATTCCATATCATGATTTGAGATATTTTAATACAAAAATTGATCCACAAGTTTATATTTTGTTAAAACAACCCCACATTTATATCTACTAATTAACCATTTATTTCATATGTAAATAAAATTTATAATCACATCATTACTTTTTAAAATTTATTATTCTCACCAACATATAGTCACTTTAACTCACACCAACCGATTGTTAAAGTGATGAAATTTTTATGGTCTATGAGCATGAAAATATAGTTGCGGATGATATTGACTAACAAATGGCTCAAAGTAACAATGTTGGTTCGTCTTCTCGGTCACATGATCGAGAAATGCAAGTTTAACGTGAGGAAATTGTCCGTACTATGTGAGAGGATTATATTAAAGACTAGTACACTATAATTTATGTTTAATTTTTTTTATTAAATTAAAGTTAGATGAAACAATTACTTAAGTGGAGAACAAATAGTTTTGTAATAATTTATTATGAGAACAAATAGAATGAAGAAGTCATCAATATGGAAAAAGATGAAAAGAAAAGTAATTGCAGGCATTTTCTTTAGTGGGTACAAAAAATAATGTTATAAAAAATTAACGAGGGTTCAATTATGTATGTATCCCATACTAGAAAGTGTTTAAAATTTATAATAGTTTTTCCTTTATTAAAAAAGATATTCATAAATTAAATAATAAAATAAATTTAACATTAGAAAAAGGATAAATTAGTCATATTCTATTTTATTTATGTTTATTTTAAATAGATTTAAAGAATGGTTACAAGAAAATCAAAATAAGGGAGGTATACGTAATAACATAAACCACAAGGAAAGTTAGCGTAATAGAGCAAAACTTGGAGGGAGGTCTCTGAAATTATCCCTTTTGTTTATTTGATAAGTTTGAATAAACAATTGGGGCTATTTTAATAGTTTTACAACTTATAAGATTTTTATGTTTATGAGAAAATACACAACACAAAAATTTCATATCGCATGTCCAAACAAAACTTCAATTTCATCTCATGATTTCATATCATGATATCATATTATGATTCTATATCATGATACCATATCGCATGGCCAAACGGGCCCTAAGTTAGCGTTTGGCCCCAAGTTCTCAAATATTCTTGGGAAATCATATTTGGGTGAAGTTTCACCATGTATTTGGCCCCAAATTTTCCAAGAAATATGATTTATACCAGAAGTTCTAAAAATTATTTAAATATCCATAAATTTATATTATCATTTTATGATGAATATGTTTCGTTAAAAAAATAACCTTATAATATAATTGATAACAATCAACAATAACAAAATAACAATATAGGCAAGACAACACATTAATATATTCAAACTTGTCACTGATTCAATTATAATTATAACTCATTAAACACAAGTTTTCCTTTTTTCTCAAATTAAAACTCAAACTTTTCCGAAGGAGATAGTAATAAATATTAGTTGAAATTAATAAATAATGGATATTTTTTTATAAAATATAAAAGTTAGAGATAATTTTTAGATTTTTCAAAATTCACAAATATTAGAAGTTGGTCCAAATACTAATTTTTTCTAGTATTTGAAACTTGGGACAAACACCACTTCCCAAGTATTTTTGGGGTCAAATGGATCCTTTTTTAACGGATGGACTGTATCACAATTGATTTCATAAAGAAGCCATCATAACCCAAAGAATTAGGGAACATCAAACTATCAGATTACAATTATTTTTCCACAAAGTCAATAATTCCAACATTAGAGGATGCAATTACTAGGTGATTTTATTTTCAGGACAAAGAAAATAGAGTCCACGAGTCTTGCCCTGTACTCCAAAGAGGACTTGACAATGAGTCAATGCTAAATTTGGGTGGTTCCACAAATGCATTTGATCCTAACAATTCGTGATTTTCTTCTTCACAACTTTTGAAATACATGTCATTTTTTGATGATGATGATTCCAAAGAAGCAAGCATGTCCTGTGATTCATCATGAGGAGCTGATGCCAAATATGTTTTTGCTGCATCTTCTTCAATCATTGCCCTTTCCTCCAATACTTTAAAGGAGGTTGCCTTTCTATACACTTTGCAGAGTACTATGTCATGATCCTGCATCCAACATCTCTGTTACTTGAAACATGAAGTTTTAACTGTGTAGCATTTTGTGTTTGATCAATCAATTTAAAAAATACATGTTTGTAATATTAGAGCAAAAATTTATATTTCCCTAAGAAAAAGTCACTACTTTTTGCACCTTCTAGAAAACAGTTTGTGTTACTACTCGAAAACACATTTTTACCACTAAATGCTCGTCAAACATCTCAACTTTCTAACATAAATATTTCTAGCTCACAAAATCAAAAATGATTTTCAGTGGCAATTAATTAATGGCAATAGCTTAATTGCCACTAAATACGTATTTTTAGCAGTAATTAACACTCTTTGTATATGTCCCTAAAGCCTTTAGCAACATTGAATTCAATAGCAATTAACTAATGCCAATAAACTTGGTCAAACATACTACAATAATATACACTGATATAATTTTAGCACTATTATATCGTATGATAATAAATAATTACAAGTAAATTGTCCATAATAATCAAGTAGAACCAGCTACTTGAAAACTAAACTAGATAACTAAATTACACCAATAGCGTAAAAATTCTTTATTCAATTAATTTTTTTATTCAAGAGTTTAAAATATGAATAAGTAAATACACGAAGAAACGAAATAACGATATAATGTGTTTGCATAATAAATTGAAGTACCTTATGTCCATGAGGAAGTCTGTACTCATTCATGACCCAATCTGTTCTGGTGCCTTTAGGTGCCCTTCCACCATAGAAAACCAAAGTTTTCTTAAGACCAATGGCTTTTTTTGGTTCTAATGAAGAACGAATTTGACGATCAGAACCAGTTGCCTTCCAAAAACCATTTCTTGTTGTTCTATTGGGCCTCCCTTTAGGACCATGTTTCCTGTTTATTGGTACAAAAAAATACCACTCTCTTTCCCCTATTCTTGCCATCCCTATTTAACACACACACACACACCAACAAAAAGGTAAGTAATATACATAATATAATATTCTTTATGAACATTTTTAAATATTGCCTCTTCCTTGTCAAGGCCAAAAATGGTATGTATGACACTTCTTGGTGAGATTAGGAATGTCATTTCACCTTCACATTAAATTCATAACCGAATCAAAATCGTATATTATATTTAGTTTGATTTTAATAATTTTAAAAATAATTAAATTGATTTTGATTTTAACCACTTAAAGAAACAAAATGTATGGTCCAAAATAAGAAACTAAATAACCCGCTATCATAAATTTAAACTTACATTATGATACAAAAAAATAAAAGTTATACTATCAATGTATATAATTTAAACACTACGATGGTATTAAGGAGTTTACTAACCAGGTAACTCCCAAGGATCATAGAGATATATGTTGAGAAAACCAATGGTATTAGAATCGATTTTATCATCATTGATAATTCTTTTGAGGTAAAAATTGATAAGTTCTTCTTCAGTGGGATGAAAACGGAACCCAGGAAGTTCAAGCTCTGTTAATGACATTTTTTTTATTTTTTGTTTCTTAGAGGATGTATTTTGTGACTACATAAATTAAGAAGCCTCTTATATAGGCAAGAAACATTGTCCTGTTTTGCGCCCATCACGCAATTGAGAATGACACCCTATACTTAGGAGGTGTAAGTTAACGTTTAACGCCTAATCATTCTGAATAACGCTTATTTCTTAGATATCATCATCATTAAAAAAATAATTGATAATTCATGGACATCACGCGGCATTTGAAAGATGACACGCTTATTTTTCAAATCATGAATCTGCCTCTGTATCTTAGTCTCAGTGTAACTCATCGTCCTCCCAAAACCAACTTCCTTATCATGATCATTGCAGGAATGTTAATTCATCCATATATGAAATTGATATTTATATATATCAATGTAAAATATTGTGGATTGATCGATACTTCCATGGGACCTTTTATGTCTATATGTTGCAATACTCGTTCATACATTTTTTTTGTATGTTAATAATACTTTTATCAATGATAATAAACATATTATATCTATATGTATTAGAGTCCATCATCAACTAGAATTCGATTATTGTAGCTTATTCATTGTAACAAAAGGATTACTTAGATATCATCATTATTTCTATTTTGTAAAAATAATAATTGATAATTCATGGACATCACGCGGCATTTGAAGGATGACACGCTTATCTTTCAAATCATGAATCTGCCTCTGTATTTTAGTCTCAGTGTAACTCATCGTCCTCCCAAAACCAACTTCCTTATCATGATCGTTGCAGTAATGCTAATTCATCCATATATGAAATTGATATTTATATATATCAATGTAAAATATTGTGGATTGATCGATACTCCCATGGGACCTTTTATGTCTATATATGTTGCAATACTCGTTCATACATTTTTAGTGTTAATAATACTTTTATTAACAATAATAAACATATTATATCTATATATAATATATCGTAGATGACACTGCTTAAACATAATAGAAAATAAATGTAATGATTTGAGATAAGAGGCAATATCTTAAAATTACTGCAATTTCATATTCAAACACACTTGCTGAAATATAAAAGTAACACTCCTTTTGTTTTAATTTATGACTTTATGTGATATTTTTTGTTTATGGAGAGTTAATTTAACTAATATTCATTATTAAAGTGGATTAGGTCAATTCAATAATTTAAAATTTAAATTCAAATGTTCAAAAAGTATAGGAAAAACACTTTATAGTATTTATCTTATCAATGTGATAAAAATATATATTAAGAAGAAATAAAAATATATAAATAATATTGAGTGTGATGGAAATGACATTATGTGTGTAAAATTCTGCGCACACCGCGGAGGATGACATTGAGAGCGAGTGGCACTAGGGAGGAATGAGCTAAAATTCCTTTCATAGGTATGGGTGGATCCTAGCTAGTGGCATAGACATGTTGGGCTCTAAATACAATAATAATATACATGTGAATCCCACAAAGTGAATTTGAAAAGATAGAGTATACGCAGACTTTACTTCTAATTCAGAGATAGAGAGATTGTTTGAGATAATTTATCAGATGATCACTCATCTTAGAATAACTCACTTAGAAAGTCACTCAATTTAGAGTAGTTCAATTAGAAAGTCACTCGACTTTGTTTTATAACTCAAAGTCATTCAATTATTGATATTTCACTTAGAAATCACTAAACTGTTGATATTTCACTTAAAAAGTTACTCAACCAATTTAAATAAAATTTTCATTAAATTTTGTTGAAATCTAATTTTTATTTTAAATTATTTTTCAAAAAATAATAAGATATTCAAATTGAACCATCCTAAGTTGAGTAACTTTCTAAGTGCACCATTCAAAGTTGAGTGACGATCTGAGATATTGTCTCGAAGTTGTTTTCATAGACCCTCGACTCAGGAAAAAAATAGTCCGAACAATTTTTTTTTAAAAAGTAATGAAAGTGAAAGCATAAGAATCTATTGATTTATAGGATATTTCTTTCTTTATAATATTATTGACCCCTTCCTAGTTTGGGTCATTTGAATTGTTCAACTACTATACATAGTTTATAAAAATAAAAACCAGTAATGGAAAAAGTGGTGTATACTTAACTATTTAAGAACAAACATTTCCATCCATAGATAAAGAATAAAAATGAAAGAAAATAAACGCGTTTTTATTGTGGTTTAGTTTGTTTAAGTGAAATTATATATGATCTTGACTTGAGGTCAACCAGGAAGACTAGAAAGAAATTAATTGGAAAAGTTGTGATTTTGTTTAAACTTTCCAATTTGTTTTATATGCTAGGGCACATGTCATGTCAATTATTTGTCCTAACAAAGACAATTGTGTTACTGTCTGGTCATGGAAAAAAAAGGGTACCATATTTCTAAGTAGCCCCAGAAATCTATTTCAATTCATGCCCAACTTTTTGTCTTCTTGAGATATGTTGACACTCAATTTTGACCCTTCTCGATAATAATTAATTTTCGAGCTTCTTAAATTTTCAACGATTTAAAATTATTGACTTTATCAAATTCAAAATATTTTTCAAATCATTTTAAAGTAATTTCGTCATTTTTATGATCTTTTAAACTAATGTATATATTCTTACAATTATGTGTATAATTATTTCATTTTGCGAATATTCGAGAATCATCTCAAAAGATTTTATTTTTTAGTTGAATATTTTACTTGAATTAGTTTGATTTAAATTATGATTTTTATTTTGAGTCATTTAAGTTTAATTGAGTTTATTATTTTATTTCGTTAAAATAAAGAAGCTCGTTAGTTGATTATATTAATTCGTCTTATTTAAATTTTAGCCAAATTCACAAGTTAAACTCAATTTGGTTAGTAAATTGACTAATTTTGTAATTCATTTGGCCAAGTCTTAATTCCAAATCTAGTATTTTATTTAGGGAAAATTTTCAAAATAGCAATATTTTAGCTTTTAATGAGACTCCTTAGCAATAGTTTCACTATTTATTTAAAATGTCAATATTTTAATTTGTCAAGGATTGAGTTATATATTTATTTTATTTTGATTAATTTGAAAGAATACAAATAATTAATAACTGAATAGCGAAAATCATGGAACAAAAAAATTCAAAAAAGGTAATTTTTTAAAAAAATTTAACATCAGTTACGTTTTTGAAAGAGCATATGTTGCCATTTTTCTTTCAAGCGTTTTTTTCTTTGTTCTTAAGAATTTCAAATTTTTTTTTGAAAACAGTAGTTTGTATTTTATATCTTATATGAGTGGAAGTGTTGGAAAGTTTCTAATGCCCTCTGTTTTGGATATTTAAATGTTTGAACTTCTTTGAATATGTTGTTCATCCGAAATGTATTCGAATACCTAATGATATGTATAACTAATTTAAAATACAAAAAATGTTGGTATTGATTTATGATGAATACAACTCTTTGGCATTCTAGTTCAAGTACAAAAATAAAGGCAGTTGTGTAGTATATACCAAAATATAAGTACAAATTAGTTGTAGATCGAAATGATATTGAAAAATACAGTTGCGATGAATACATATATATACATAGAATAAGTTTATTCAAAATAAATTGTATTTATATTTCAATATCCAATTTTGTTATATTATTATTTCACTTTAAATTTGCAAAAAGTATTTTCTAGCATAGTTTTTATTTGAAATATCAGGTTGTATTTCAATATCATTTTGTATATCAAACGCAGAATGAATACCAATAATTTTGTATTCCCCTTCTTGTGATGTATTCGTCGCACAATTTTATATATTATGTATTCATAAAATGATATTGCTTTAGCCAAATAAAATACAAAATATGTCTTACTAAGTTGTATTTCAAATATCAGGTTGTATTTCAATATGATTTTGTATTTCAAACGAAAAAATGAATACCAATAAGTTTCCATTTCCCTTCTTATAATGTATTTGTCACAATTCTATAAATTATGTATTCAATCATAATATATAGAATTGTGACGAATACATTATATACCTATTTAAATTACTACAAACTAAAATAGAAATACAATATTTTAAAATAAAAATACAAATGATGAGTAAAAGAAAAACAATTGACAAACAAATATTAATATGAATACAATTGTGGTATGAATACAATTTTGTAACCTTCTTATTTGACTTTGTCTTTCTTCTTCTTCTTCATCTACTATGTTCTTTTTCCGATTATTTTCCATCAAAACCGAATCTGAATCTGTATTCACTTGTGCATTAGTAACCCTATAAGCAAAATTCGAAATTATTAAATATGAATGTATAAAAAAATCAAACAATGTATGATGTATGTGTGCTAATGTAGTTACTACAATCTACTAAATCTCAAATATAAAAACAAATTTTTTGATAATTTGAATTTCAAAATTATCAAAAATTAGAATGTATTAAATATCAAACAAAATAAACATACATATGAAGTATTCGTCGTTACTACAATAAAACAATGTATGATGTATGTGTGCTAATGTAGTTACTACAATCTACTAAATCTCAAATATAAAAACAAAATTTTTCATAATTTGAATTTCAAAATTATCAAAAATTAGAATGTATTAAATATCAAACAAAATAAACATACATATGAAGTTCTAGATTCTCCAAAATCTGAAAAATTAAAAGAAAATCACAAAAAAATTGAAAATCATAACTATTTGATGAATAACTAAACAAAATCACATAAAAATTGAAAAATTCGACTGGAAATTCGTAATATATAAAATCGGTGATTTAAACATCAAATCAAAGTAAATCAAAATGGATAATGGAAATCACCTTGCCAATCGAGAAATCTGCTTGAATTAATAAATAGATTTCATTTAACAATAAAGAAGATTTCTTGATGAACAACAATTTAGCACCTTGAAGAAAGATAAACTTGAAACGTGAAAGGTGGGGAAGAAACGTGAAAAATGGGAAAGAAACGTGAATGGAGTTGAAAAAAGGTTAATGTGTATTGGTTTAATTTTTTTCTTTAAAGGGTTATTAATATATAATTTGATCCAAT